GGGGGGGAAGGGGGTGGGCAGGAGATACATCTCCACAGCCCGGTCCTGCCATAGCCACGGACCAGCACTGGGCCACAGACCGGGGGTTGGTGACCCCTGCTCTAGGACATTTTTACCAGTAAGTTAATGCATCTGTGTGCAAGTGTTGTTTGGACAGTCAGATGCTGTAGGACAGTGGTTCTTAACCTTGGGTTACTCAGGTGTTTTTGAACTGCAACTTCCAGAAACCCCAGCCAGCACAGCTGGTGGTGAAGGCTTCTGGGAGATGTAGTCCAAAAACACCTGAGTAACCCAAGGTTAAGAACCACTGCTGCAGGACATATCTGAAGACCTCTCCACAGCACACAGGAATTAAGTGAATAGGAAGCGATCAGTAGAGAAGAAGGTGAATAGACCCACACGTTCATCATCGTCTACTGCTCTAGCCATTCCAGGCAGAGGGAGGGAGGACACATCTCCCTGCACAGCTGCCAAGTGGCCAGCTGAGTGGGAAGAAAGCAAGGCTCCGAGAGTGATTGGAAGCATGAGCGAGGTCACCGCCACCACCAGACACGTAAGTTAAGTCCAGCTATGTGGGAATATTCGTATTCGTATAGGAATACAAATACCCCCTTCTCTACTTGTAACTGAAAAAGAACTGAAGCTTAGCTCTCTTCTGAAGTTGATGTTCCTATGTAATAAAAAGATGTCATTTTAATTGTTTAGCTACCGGGTCTGGTGTGGTTAATGGCTAGTGTCAAACACATTACTGGAAGATTATTTTTAAAAGTGATAAGCTTGGGTTCGGTCTGGTCACAGACCCTCTTTCAGGTATTCCTCATCTTTATTACTTGCCATTTGCATGAGAATGGAATCTTAATTTCTCATGCAAGTAGGCCTATAACATAATTTCCTGTTTTTGTCTTTTTTCATGTGTTGCTATGAAGCTGTAGCAGCATAGGTGAAGGGACATATCTGATGTAAGATGAAACCAATACAAGAGGACAGAGATTGAAGCCAACAAAGAAGTTTAAGATGTGAGTTTGAAAAACTTAGGATCCGCCAAGGTAAATGTCTTAATTTCTCATGCAAGTAGGCCTATAACATAATTTCCTGTTTTTGTCTTTTTTCATGTGTTGCTATGAAGCTGTAGCAGCATAGGTGAAGGGACATATCTGATGTAAGATGAAACCAATACAAGAGGACAGAGATGGAAGCCAACAAAGAAGTTTAAGATGTGAGTTTGAAAAACTTAGGATCCGCCAAGGTAAACACAGCCTTTTGTCAGGTCCACGTATTATGTCTGGCCATTATCACCTTTATTTTTTGAAATCTCAGTTGCGTAGCAAAAACAAGGATTCTTGAAATCCATAGGAGACACCTTCTTGTTTGAAGGCTGCATATAATCAGGTGGGTCATAGATCACATCTGTCAAAAACAATCTTTTTAATCAATGCAATTGTAACTTGCCATTCTGGAAAAAAAAGAAAAGAAACCATATACTGGTGGAAGACTAGCCTGGATAAAATCTTGGGTATAGAATTATCACCTGTTTATTTGTTCATTCTTTTTGCAATGAAAATCTGTGTAAGGTTTTCCCATCCTGAAATATTTCCATCTCACTATCTAGCTGAAGATTTCAGAACACAGTAGTAGCAATAAGAAAAGCTTTTCCTGCTGGAGGTCTGTCTCTTCCGCACTTCTTTTGGATGGCCACTTACACATTGCCAAATGAGAGGACAAAGGAGTTTGTGCATTTGCAAATGCTAATTTACACTGATGGACACAATAAATCCCTCCTCTCTGTTTAATATATCTCACTATGGAGGGGGGCAGACCCATACTACAAGTCGCTTGTGTGCCTGCTCATTGTGATAGCTCAGGATCAGACACTTGTGGTATCACAGAGGTGGGGCAGGCAGATGTTGGGAGGGGATTTTTTTTTTCCATCCAGGTTCTGCGTGGCCGCTCCCAAGTTTGTGTAAAGATACAGTTCTTGAATTGCATTTCATGGTGCCATACTTTCTGCGATGTCACAAAGGTACTCTGTTCCAGATGTTACAAAGGTTCATTCAGAAAAGCTAGGCATGAGAAGAGAGGACTCGCTAGAGAACCCATAAATGCATGCTTTGGACTCCATTTTGCCATTCAGAACAACATCCAATTAGTCACATAAAAGCTGAATCAGCGAGTGCTGGCACCAGCCAGGATTGGGTGGAGATGGGTGCCTAGACTTTAAAGTCACCTCACATACAACATAATCTTCTCCTGTCATTCTGCTTGCCCTGAGGTTTGTCTTCCTACCTGAAAGGTTGAGAAGCAAAGACATTCCCTAGCACTTCTTGAAACCTGGCAATCCTGCTTCTAAGATTTGCTTATCTTTATACTGGACTGTTGTGGCCCTCCAGATGTTGTTGGGCTTCTATTCTCATCAGTCCCAAGCAGCATCACCAACACTTAGGAATGCTGGGAATTGCAGTCTAAGAACAGCATGAGGGCTGCACTTTGCCCATTCTTGTAAGTAGAGGATTGCCCTCTCTAAAATTGGGCAAATGGCTACCCTGGGCAGAAGGGATCTACTGTGGTGAAGGGTGGGAGTGGCAAAGGTTTAGCTAAACATTCAAGAATGCAAGCTTGTTTTAGGAAAGTTGGTTGGCTGCTGCTTCTAATGTGGGCAACCACAATAGCATGGAAACAAGACTATGAGTGACAGGCATACATATTCCAAATGGAGACAAAGTAACTTCCCAGTCCCCAGAAGAAAACTTAAATCATTATTAGATTGAAAACATGTAGATTAAATGAGTTAATTGATTTAAACAACTTGGGTTTTCAAGGTGACTCGACTGTTTCTTAAAGGAGCTTTATATGGTAATGTGACATTTTGCAGCCAATGTGCAGCCAATTATCTCTCAGACAAAGAGGGGTGGGATGACCAACTTGCTTGGCTAAAAAAGGACTCAGATTTGAAACACACACTTCTGGGAGCACTGAAACCTAAGGACATAATGCACGGCTGAGCAGGGAAGCCGCATCACAGTGTAGCTTCCAACTCTGCCAGCCTTTTGGCCACATGGATTTGTGGGGGGAAATCTGCTTGCAAATCTGCTTGCTAGGGAGAGAGAAGCTGGCTGGAGAGCTCAGTGGTTTAGGTTTCTGGCTGCGGAGTCAGAGTGGGGAGTTCAATTCCCCACTGTGCCTCCAGGGAAAACAGCCAGCTTACGTGGCCTTGGGCAAGCTGCACTGTCCCAGTAATGCCTCCAGAAGAAGGGAATGGTAAACCACTTCTGAGTATTCTCTCCCTTCAAAAACCCTGGATATAGTCACCATAAATCAGAAGTGACTTGACGGCACACAGTTATTAGAGAGAAACTGCTGGCAAAAATAAAGTACATGTTCCTCCCAGGCTTTGAGCTAGTGCAAGAGCAACCATAAATCAGCATTTGAAAAAGTTACTTCTTTGGACTGCAGTTCCCTGATTCCTCCAACCACCATGGACATGTAAGCTGAAATATTTTGAGTGGCTTTTTTTTAAAGTATCTTTTTCCAGGCCCTGTCTCGAATGTCCTCAGGTTCTTACCTTGGGAATTTCATCACCCAATACTTCAAGTGGAGAATTTTAAACTGATATTCCCCAATTAACAATTGTGATGATACCATAGTTCCTGCACTGTAGGGCTTAGAAAGCAGCAGAGCAATAGCAGGATGAGATTCTGGGTCCCAGATCATCATTCTACCATTGCTCAGTTAGGCATGGCTTCAGCATGGCGTTATATCCACTTTCTGAGCTTGGTAGCTGAACACTATCTTGCCGCCAGGAAATGGAGCAGTGGCAACAAAATTCATGTCTCTGCTCCTCTGGTTCTGTTGGCAATTTGATGTGCACAAATTTAATAGATAAAGCTTTTCTTGACATGAAGAAAATGGAGACGTACCCAGTATTTTTGTTTGTGCCAGGCTTAGATGAACAACTCAGTGAGTGAAAGCAGCTGATTGGGAGTTAGGGGTTGGAGCTCAATTCCCCATTGTGTTTTGCAGGAAAAAAGCCAGCCTGTGTAGTGTTGGGCAAGCTGCAGAGTTCCAGAACACCACCAAAAGTGAAGAATGATCAACCATCTCCTAGAACTATATACTGTAGCTAGGAAACCCTGGAAAGGGTCAACATAAGTCAGAATTGACTTGACAGCACATAATTATGTAATAATAAACAAGTTACACCCAGTGTAGTGTAGTGAACAGAACATCAGACTACAGCTCAGGAGGTGTAGGTTCCAATTTCTGCTTGGCTATAGAAACTCACTTGGTGCAGGAAGGCACTGGAAAAGCTACTCCTCAACTATCTCACATGCTTTGGAAACCCCACTACAGTCTCCATAAGACAGAACTTACTTGACAGCACATAACATAGTTAGATATAGTGGCTGAAGTTTCCTTGCTTAGCATAATAAATCACAACTAGAATAAGTCTGCTAAATCAATGGGAATGTTGTGTGTCAACGCTTCCATAAGTTCCATTGATTCAATCGCTTTCTCTTGTTGTGACTTACTATGCTAAGTAACAGTTGTTCAGCCAATGACTCTGAATAAAAACAATCAGCATCAAGGCCAGTAAGAAATCAACCAAAACTGAATGCAAGATATGAAATCAAATGGAAAACAATTACCACCGACAGGCCAAGCAAATTGTGTTGATTTTGTTTTTGTTTTGGATCCTTTGAGATAAGTCAGAGGGTGACTGGCCTAAGGTAACCTGGTGAGTTTCGTGGCTCAGTGGAGACTTTAAATAATTCAGTAACAACTGCACCACATTAGCTGCCTATACACAGAAGTGCTTGAGTTTGCCATTGCAAAGGTGTGGATATAGATGAAAATTCAAGATCGACTGCCATTGGTATTTCTGTACAAAGGGAATGTGATCTGAAACAGAAAGAGAGGTGTTGCTTTTTTTTACCATTGATGAGCTACACACACATTCAGACTAACTCACCTAGAACAATGGTTCTCAATTTTTGGTCCTCCAGAGGTTTGGGGATTCAGTTTCCCAGAAGTCCCCAGCTGTATGCTCAGGGATTCTGGGAGCTGACACTGAAAACTCTGAAGGACCAAAACTGAAAGCAGAGGCCCAGACTATATCCTAGGAGAACAGTATAATAGCTGTTCACAGAACACAGTCCAGATCTGCCCCTGCCTCAGAAATGCCTGGGCGGGAACTGGCACTCCATGGTAATCTCTGTAAAACCTGGAGGAGAATATGATTAATTTTTTACTGTTTTATTACTCTTTGGGGTTAATTATTTAAAAACAGAACATTAAAACTCTCCAAGTAAGTCCAAAGTGTCAGGTCAATTAGTAGTATTAGTAGCCGGTTGGCTTAGAAGCATTTGTTCTACTTCTGTTATGTAGGATGATAAAATGCTGCAGGAACAGAATATGCTGTACAGGAAAAAAAATGGCTAGAAAGGTTGGCAAAGGACAAATTAAGGCAGCATGAAAAGATGCACTCCTTAAAGGGTTAGCCAAGGCCAGGAATAATAACGATAAAAATAACAGCAATAATAGCAACAGTCATTGTCGTCATCATCACAAGCTATCTGACTTACAGGAACTCTTTTCAGGGTTTTCCAGGTACCGAATGCTCAGAAGTGCTTTACCATTCCCTTCTTCTGGGGGCGCCCTGGGACTGTGCAGCTTGACCAACTTCTTAGAAACTTCTGGACGGTGCACTTTTGCCTTTAGGCATAATCCCTGCACCAGTCTTTTAGGCTTTAAAAAAAGAGATGCCCATGAATTAAAACACAAACTAGGAAATGCATTGAAAAAATCGTTGGTTCATTGATTTGGGTCATTCCAAACCAAAGGACCCGAACTTCCCCAAACAAATAAACTTTTTCCGATTTAATGAACATCCTGGTTCATTTCCCACACACACACACACAGCCTGCCCCCCTTCCTCTCTTGCCTCCCTACCTTGTCCTGCCACCACTGCCACCATATAGAGAGAGCACCCAGACTTCCCTTCCAGGA